TGTATTTCTAACCCGCACATTCCTCACCAACAGTGGGCTAGGTACCAGCCATCTGCCAAGCCCTGGCTTGATTACATGCCAGTGACACCTGAGGCCACACAGAAGGCACGGAGAACTGGAACCGTCACCCAGGTCTGTAGCGAATTAAAGAAATACAACAGTGGGCTCGCAAAATGAAACTAAGAAGTGACGGATGTTCACCGAGGACAACATCCGACCGGACTTAGGAAGTGGTTTGTTAAATAAATCAAGTCTCTTATCCAGAGCAATTTTCTCCAAAGCATTCATTGAATACTGTTAAGTTATTAGCGATGGATATTTAGAACATAATGAACTGTGGAGCATAATAAAGTCCATAAGCACCATAAATTACTGCGTGTAAGAGAAGCGATTGGGTTTGATAGGCCTGCGTGGTAAACAGCTGCCGCTGACCAAAGGAAAAAAACAACATACTGCATGGTAGGCGATGAGTCACAATAACGTGGCTGAAGTATGTTGACCAGACCACACACTAGAAATTGAAGGGACGACGACGTTTCGGTCCGTCCTGGATCATTCTCAAGTCACAATCGACTTGAGAATGGTTCAGGACGGACCGAAACGTCGTCGTCCCTTCAATTTCTAGTGTGGTCTGGTCAACATACTGTATGGTAGTCAAATAGTTCAGGATAGGTGGTTCTGCCATTCTCTTGTTGCAGACCCAACACCCTGTGGTACAAGGCACTGGAAAAAGTCCAAACTCAGCAGTGTTGAAATACTGGCAATGGTCCAAGTGCTAGGGATCTCAGACTTCAATAGACTACCTCGTCCCAGGTCAACACACTTTACCATAGGTTGATTTGTTACCCAGAAAACAAGGATAAATTATGGACTTGACTGGCTTTACCTCACTACCTCTTACTCACAAGTCTTGCGTCTCGCTTGACAGCCCACCGACCTTCATGAAAATTGACCGCCTACGTGTAAGTTTAATGTTGCAGAAAACTTGAAAAATTAAAATAAGATTCATGGACAAAATAGAAAAATCAATACCCCGTCATTTTGGCCAAAGTCTAATTCAGACCCACAACAACTACAACCTTAAAAGTGACATTAACCAGTTAAGCTTAACCAGTTAAAACCCTTCCCGCCCGGCTCCCCTCCACTGGTCCAACACAGGAGGGAAGGGAAGGGTCGAAGCATCAAAGAAACCAGAACTAAAGAACTGAAGAACCCAGAGTATAACCCAACACCGGTCTACCCTACCCCCGTTCTCCAGCACCCGCCCCCCCTTTTCCACCAGAACGCCCCCCCTTCCCCGTTTGCCCTTCCCCCAGTACCGCCCCTGAGTACCCGAGACTGAGCTCTCGTCTAGAGCCGAGCCAAGCCTAGGTGCGAGTAGAAGGTGAATATTACCAACTAGTTAAATAAAGGGTTTGGCAGTGGTTCCGTATGTTTTCAGTGGCTGGTTGCTGTTCTGTATGCAATCAGTCTTCAAAACAAAAGGCCCAAATCTATTACATGCAGTAGATACTAACTCCATATGGCTCCCGGCTGATGACAAAACTGTGAAAACAGCATCCCTCAATTCGAATGGTCAAAGTGTACTTTAAATGAGTTGCACTTAAGAAATGCATCCCCCCCCCTTTCCTTCTCCCTCCAGTTCGTACATAGGCCTACATGAATCTTCCTAAAGAGGCACATTTCACACGTTAATACTTGCATACGACGCAAAACAATAGAAGAGCAAACTAACGAGTGATGATAATATCACCGAGGCCCTACTCTTGCTATCAGCTTCCTCAAAGAAATGGTTACTGGTGTTCAGTTCCATCATGTGTAAAGTACTGGAAGTTAACAGAGGAGGGGACAGGCCAGTACGGTAGATCACAGAGGAAGGCCATTTTACATCAGAAAAAGAGAAGGACATGTATGAGAAGACAAGGCAAACATTAATCCTCGAGGTGTATTACGTAAGACATTTATAAATTGAAGGAAACATTTCAGACATTACACAACCCATGTCAGACCAGTCCTTGAATGTGCAGCATCAGCATAGCATTCTAGACGTGTGATGCTCAAGAAAATAGATACGATACGAGATTAGTATTAGAAACGATTTTGAGTTGGGCGTTACAAGGACAGCACTCTACTTAACCACACTAGAACAAAGAACTCTAGGTGTTATGATCACAACGTGCAAGATACCGAAAAATACAAAGTTGATAGTGTGCGAGATAATGGAAGGCAGAATGAAGAGGGCCACTGGTTTCTGGAACCACGAGAAATAAACTTATATCCTAGACAGCAGCACGCTTCGGTTAAGTAACCCCCCCCCCCCCATCATAAGAGTTAATCCTTATGTTAAATTGATGATAAATTCATAAACATTATATACCTATGAAGAGCAGTAACAGCCCCAAACCGCCAATCAGTATAAGCGGGAGTGTTTGTGATGCAGCCAAGTCAAAACACTTGGTACAACGGGGGGGGGGGGGGAGATGATGCAGCCCCTTAGTACACAGCATTCATTGTCCCGAGAACCGTCTGTCAGCGACAGAATGACAGCAGTGGGCTCCCACTATCACTTCACGTACGTGTGTGTGTACGTGTACACACACACACACACACGTACGTACGTGGTCCCAATATACAAAAAGGGCGACAGACAAGAGGCACTGAACTACAGGCCAATGTCCTTAACTTGTATACCATGCAAGGTGATGGAGAAGATCGCGAGAAAAAATCTAGTAACACATCTGGAGAGAAGGGACTTCGTGTCAAATCGCCAACGTGGCTTCAGGGAGAGTAAATCTTGCCTTACAGGCTTAATAGAATTCTACGACCTGGTGACAAAGATTAAGCAAGGAAAAGAAGCCTGGGCGGACTGCATTGTTTTGGACTGTCTGAAAGCCTTTGACACAGTACTCCATAAGAGACTGGTACATAAGCTGGAGAGACAGGCAAAAGTAACTGGTAAGATGCTCCAGTGGATAAGGGAATACCTAAGCAATAGGAAGCAGAGTTACCATGAAGGGTGAGACCTCAGACTGGTGTGAAGTCACCAGTGAAGTCCCACAGGGCTCTGTACTCGGACCTATCCTGTTTCTGATATACGTAAATGATCTCCCGGAGGGTATAGACTCATTCCTCTCATTCAGACGCCAAAATTGTGAGAATGACTAAGACAGAGGACCACCTGCCCGAGGCTTCAAGAAGACCTGGACAAGCTGCAGGAATGGTTGAACAAATGGTTGTTAGAGTTTAACCCAAGCAAATGTAATATAATTACGTTAGGCGTAAGGAGCAGGAAGTCAGATACAAGGTATCATTTTGGAGATGAAATACTTAACGGCATTTAGAAACTTGTGTAACGAGTCATTCAGAACTGTGTATACCACATATGTCAGACCAATCCTGGAGTATGCAGCCCCAGCATGGAGTCCATATCTAGTCAAGCATAAGACTAAACTGGAAAAGGTTCAAAGGTTTGCCACCAGACTAGTACCCGGGCTGACGGGTATGAGCTACGAGGAGAGACTATGGGAATTAAACCTTACGTCGCTGGAAGACAGAAGTTAGGAGGGGGGGGGGGACATGATCACCACGTACAAGATTCTCAGTGTAGATAAAGACAGGCTAATTAACACAAGGGGCACACGCACAAGGGGACACAGGTGGAAACCGAGTACCCAAATGAGCCAGAGATACAAGAAAAAACTTTTTTAGTGTCAGAATTGGTTGACAAATGGAATGCATTAGGAAGTAATGTGGTGGAGGCTGACTCCATACACAGTTTCAAGTGTAGATATGATAGAGCCCTGTAGGCTCAGGAACCTGTACTCCAGTTGATTGACGGTTGAGGCGGGACCAAAGAGCCAGAGCTCAACCCCCTCAAGCACAAATAGCCGAGTACAAATAGGTGAGCACACACACACACACACCTCTTCCCTTAAATTCAAAATTCGCCCATCTCACAACTTCCCGTATAACGTCGTCCATTGCTGTGTGTTACCCTGGGACCACCGCTGTGTAAACGGCGTATTAGTGTGTATACACGGAGGACCCACGTGCACGGACACCTTCACTATCAGCATATGGTACAGCAACAACATGTCCGCAGAAAATGGCAAAGGGAAAGGGGTACATGAAGGGGTACGCCTACAACACCTGTAAAGAATTAAAGGGTGTCGAGGATGTCGGTGAACTGTACAGAGCGTAAGATGATGGGGGAGGGGGGGGGGGGGTCGAATGGCCGAATGTCGAGGGAAACGATAGAACGCGGAGGACGGGAGAGAGGGATGGGGAGAGAGGGATGGGGAGGGAGGGAGGGATGGGGAGGAGTGTAGGGAGGGAGAGTAGAGAGGGGAGGGAGGGAGGGCGGGGAGAAGGGTGTCGGGTGGGGGAAGTAAGAGGAGAGGGAGGGTGGAGAGTAGGGAGGGGAGGGAGGGCGAGAGAGGGGGAGAAGGGAGGACTGTTTTAAGCGAATAGGAAAAGGGGGAGGGGAGGGGGGTGAGTAAGATGGAGAGTAGACTGTAAGGGTAACAAGGCAGGCGACAGAACACGAAGAATAAGAGCAGACGAACAAGTAAAACAAGTAAATGACAATCAACAAGCAATAAACGCAACAAGCAACAGCAAGCAGTCCCAACGCAACTGTCACGTCTCCTATCACCGCCCGTAGCCAGCAAGCACAGCGGTCGATACCGACACCAGCGATACCACCTTGATATCTGCGATACCACCTCCCTCCAGCCAGGGACCTCCATGGGCACACACGACGTGCCTGGCATGACAATGCCGCCTTTAAAACCTCCAAGGCTGCTGCTGCTCACACCTCACCCACTGTATGGGGGTAAGACCAGCCGCAGTACGCTGACCTTATTGGCTTGTGTTACGGTCATGTATCATGCAATGAGCAGCTCCATTGTGGTCGCTGTATAGTGTGTAAACAAGACTGAACACCGTTGTGACCTGAATACAGTTGGGAGGAAAAATAAACAAATATGTACTCTACTCACCTCACCGTGTGGGACGAGTTGCGTTGGTCCTCCTGGCTGTGACCCCATTTGACCCCCGTCATGGCACATGGCCTCCAGTTAAGGAGGGAGTGCCGCGAGCGGATGGGTCGTCAGGGATGAAGCTACGGGGGGGTGGGGCGCAGGTCAGAAGAGGTTGCTAGTGATCCTGAAGACGACGCTGCAGGACACCACCTCAAGGCTCTCTTGGGGTGCTGGGGGCCCTCCCGACCAGCTCTTGGCCCAGCTAAGGACTGACAGCCTCGTACAAAGGCTGGCGGCGGCAGGAGCAGCAAGCATGACTGGGAATCATCGTCCATTCACATCTTTTTGGATTTTATTCGAGGGGCGGGCCAGGGCCACCCACCCTCCTACCCGTGTAGGGGAGGGAAGTAGAGGCACCGACAACAATCACCACTTTACAGACACGACCGAACTGCTCAGCCTGTCCCTCCACTTTTCCCCCCCACCACCATGTTCTCGGGTTGTTCAAAGGCAGGAACACTGTACTGCCATGGAAAGATCTCAAAAACAACAATCTACCAATTTAGTCTCTGTATAACCAGTGTTTCATCTCTAACAATCAGACCTGTGGTTGGCTCACCGTGTGTGTGGGGCACCTGGCGAGGAATTGCGTTTGGGCGTGGTGGGTCCTCTGGTAACACGTCTGTCCAGAATCGACCAATATAATGAAATAATAATACTCCTTTGGCTAACGTAAACGGACACGTGTGGCTATGGCCTGGGGACTCGTACTGCACTACACACATATTCATGTACATATCACATAGGGGCGGTGACGCTGAGGTTACCACGAGAGCGGCAGCAGCAGCTTCACCAGGGCAGGGACCTCCTGCAGGTGGTGTGCCTGCTGCTGCTGCTGCCGCCGCCACCACAGCTGGTGACTGGCCTGGCAGGCACCCATCTCACTGGTAGGTGGTGAGGATAAGCACTGTGGATCAGTCTAGTGTCCTGGTGGAGCGACCTCTCGCCCCACCAACCACAGCGTCACCAGTGTTTACTCTTGGCACTAACGGGCCTGGTCGGGCTGGCACCCGTCGGGCCCGGGCACGCGAGTGCATTAGGCACACTGCAGCCACCCACACGTGCATGTGTAGGACTGGGGCGGCGCAGGCGCGGGCACAATAGGGGCGTAATAGTAACCATTGCTGTAGATGACGGGTGGAGGGGGAGCTATGTGAACATCGAAACTGCTACTGCTGCTAGAACTGCTGCTGCTACTGCTGCCACTACAGTGCTGTTGCTTAACGTAGAGCCGTTGCTGCTCGTTATAGAACACTTGACAGGCAAGCTCATCAATGAGATTAAGTGTCTGGCGTCTCTCGTGACCCATTAGACAGACTGTGGATTCGTCAACTACCCTGTGTAGCACCATCAGGTACTCATAGCGCAGCGCCTCGTCGGGACCCACGAAGTGATTCCACAAATACGCCTCCAGCTTCGATTGCTGCTGGCTGACGTCTGGGAAGTCTATGAAGAAGCGGGAACACATGTACCGCTCCAGGGTCTTTATCTCCTCCGGGCGGGCGGGCTCGTAGTCCTTCACCAGCAGGTTGCAGTACTTCAGGAGGCCGCCGCCACGGATCTCCTCTGGGTTCTTTGTTGCTATCAGCTTCTTCTGCAGGTGGTATAGCGCCTCCAGGAAGTCGCCGTAGACGCTCTCGCCAACTACCGTTGGGTAGAAGCTCTCGCTAATGGGCATCTCGGCGCACTCGTAGAACAGGAGCAGGGAGTCGAGAACGATCTGGAAGGAATCTACAGAAAACTCGAACTGACGCTTCATGCTGTCAACGAATTTCAACTCCACGTTCCTACCACCGTTGTTGGAGAGGGATATGAGGGACCAGCGATCAGTGTCATTGACTTTGACCATCTTGTTGACGTAGCCCTCCTTCATGGAACACGAAGACATGCGCTTCTTGCTTACCCCTTCAGGCAAGAAGTCGAGCAGCACCTCCAGCACTGCGTTCTTCACCCTGTCGTAGTTCCTGGGCGTGCTCAGGTCCACGGCGAAGATGAGGTCGAGGTCGTTGTAGGCCTGGTCGCTGTCTGTGGCCAGGATGTGCGAGGCGGCGCCCCCATTGATGCGTATGTCTCGCACAGTCATCGAGTCAGCCTCCAGCTTGCTCCTTACCATGGACACCAGGTCGCGAAGCCGGATCTCCAGCGTGGGGAAGTTGCCACGACCATGGATAGGTACCACCTCGTGCAACACGTCGTTCAGTTGTCGCACTTGATCGTAGCTCAACACGGCAAACCTTTGGTCGTCCATATTGACGTTGACAAGCCCTTCCATCTTGAGGCGGAGTCGCTCCTGAGCCGGGGCCAGACTGCCGCTCTGTAAAAGGGCAGAGAGGCGAAGGGTGAGATGAGGTAGAGCCTTGAACACACAGCTAGTTAAGAGCGAGTGGTCGTGTGTGCGTGCCTAGTCCAGCCGTGTCCTCACTCAACCACAGCCACTAGTCAACTGACAAGTGGGTTGCCGAGCCGAGCATGGGTGGTGAGGGCTAGCAGGTGGCGGCGTGTGGCGACCGTGACGTCACCGCCGCCACACGCACCGACGCACACACGCACACACCACCACCACTCCAACTGACAAAACCCACACAGTCACCTACCACTCTGGGCCCGGTGTGGACCACTAGCAAGGTTCACTGCCTCCTGAAATGGACATTCAACGACTTATTGTTACAGAATTACAAACACAACCAGCACTAGCCAGTTACAGCTACATTAAAAAGGGGGAATACCGTGTACAAGTGCTCGACCAATCTATATATATATATACTGTATATATATTTAAACTGGATGAGTTCATGACTAAAGCATATTCCTACAACAGCATCTGAACACACACACACACACACACACACACACAGTGAACATTCATATATTAGTTGTAAGTGGAGTAATGAATCAGAAAGAGGCCACCCGAGCCCGACTAACAGCTGGGTCACTAACTGCGCGCGCCATAACTTACAATATCACAGTGTTCACATTATTGTTCAACTGTTACTATGCAATATAAGCGTTACATATTAGTGCATATTATATATTATACATATATATTTTACATTATATTATTTTATACATATTTATGCACATATATATATCTCGACCCATTATAGGTGCATTTATATAAGCGTTATGCTAACACGCAATACACATTGACTCCCCCCCCCCCAGCGTGCCATCAGTACTATACACGAGCCGTTACAGTGTCACACAGTCACTACTAACACACACAGCGTGGCCCAGTGGTAGTTTATTGTGCACCCCATACTCCTCAGCGTTTCGGATAGGTCCTTAATCCTATTTTTCCCACCGAATACGACCCGCCAAATCGTTCTAACAACCGGGTACCCATTCACAGCTGGGTGAACAGAGGCGTATGGTTAAAGATTGGCGCCCAATAAATTCTCCCCGGCCAGGATACGAACCCAGGCCAAAGGGCTCGCGAAGCGCCGGGCGAGTGCTTTACCACTGCGCCACGGGGACTGCTAACTTCACTTCCACCCCCCCCAACCCCTTCAATGTATCTAAACTAGAGGTAAACCGCTCCACTCCCCTCTACTTGCAATCCTCCGGCTCAGTAGTCTACGTCTTTAACACGCAACCGAGGGGGCCCGGGTTCACTCCACGAGCAGGACGGGAACTGTTTGCCACGTTTCCTTTCACCTGATGCCTCTGTCCACCTAGCAGTAACATGTATAAATATACACCTGGAAGTTGAGCAATTTTTGTTGGTTGTCTCCTGGTAAAGGCGAAGAGTTGTGAAGGTGGGGGGGGGGGGGGACTTCGATAGCCCTAACAGCCTCCTTGTTGCAAACAACTGTAAACAGGTTTGTTTATTTGTGGAAGGGATTACTGGGGTAACATAACAGACCGCTGGTTTCAAGCGCAGGTTACACACACACGTGACTAAGTTTGGGAGGATATATATATAGGAGCAGCCACGTATGGGCCAATAGGCCTTCTGCAGTTTCCTTGACTCTTGTGTATTATACTCTATTTGTACCCTAAGATGACTTGCTTCCCTCGCCTTGCCACCTCCCCCCCCCCTCATACAACCATCAACCATCTCACCATAAAATCGCCATCCAAAATTTCTGCCCTCCCCCCCCCTGCCCCCCCCCCCCCCGGTCAAGCACGCAACTTCCTTCAGTGGAACGGAGGTGAGAAGGTGAACAAGGGAGAATGAGCAGAACAAAGTGAGCTTCAAATACTGTCCACAAACACACGATGAGCTTAGGCAGAGATTACACGAAGGGAAGGGAACTATCTGGAGAAAGTGCCAAGCTATTGAGAGGGGGGAGGGGAGGGAGGAATGGTACCCAACCACTTGGACGGTCGGGGATTGAACGCCGACCTGCATGAAGCGAAACGGTCCGGTTTAAGTGGTTGGGCAAGGACACGCGACGAAAATGTGAATGTAATTGAGCTCAGACAACAGTGTCAGGTGTCATAACTGACAGTGTCGCCCCCTGCGAGTCCCGTGTGACACTGAGGGGGGGGGGAGGGAGTGGCGGCCTTGATAAGAAAAGACTACAGTTTCAAGATGACAATCCCAGGCTGTCAAGGATGACATGACAGGCACACTAACAGTTGCAGAACCAAAAGATACCGTACGTAGTTCAGTGATATAATTTATTTTGTTGGGGGACAGGAAGTGTGTGTGTACTCACCTATATGTGCTTGCAGGATCGAGCATTGACTCTTGGATCCCGCCTTTCTAGCTATCGGTTGTTTACAGCAATGACTCCTGTCCCATTTCCCTATCATACCTAGTTTTAAAAGTATGAATAGTATTTGCTTCCACAACCTGTTCCCCAAGTGCATTCCATTTTTCTACTACTCTCACGCTAAAAGAAAACTTCCTAACATCTCTGTGACTCATCTGAGTTTCCAGTTTCCACCCATGTCCCCTCGTTCTGTTATTATTACGTGTGAACATTTGATCTATTTCCACTTTGTCAATTCCCCTGAGTATTTTATATGTCCCTATCATATCTCCTCTCTCCCTTCTTTTCTCTAGTGTCGTAAGGTTCAGTTCCTTCAGCCGCTCTTCATATCCCATCCCTCGTAGCTCTGGGACAAGCCTCGTCGCAAACCTCTGAACCTTCTCCAGTTTCTTTATGTGTTTCTTCAGGTGGGGGCTCCATGATGGCGCGGCATACTCTAAGACGGGTCTCACGTAGGCAGTGTAAAGCGCCCTAAAAGCTTCCTCATTTAGGTTTCTGAATGAAGTTCTAATTTTCGCCAGTGTAGAGTACGCTGCTGTCGTTATCCTATTTATATGTGCCTCAGGAGTTAGATCGGGTGTCACATCCACTCCCAGGTCTCTTTCTCGAATCGTTACAGGTAGGCTGTTCCCCTTCATTGTGTACTGTCCCTTTGGTCTCCTGTCACCTGATCCCATTTCCATAACTTTACATTTACTGGTGTTAAACTCCAGTAGCCATTTCTCTGACCATCTCTGCAGCCTGTGTAAGTCCTCTTGGAGGATCCTACAATCCTCGTCTGTCACAACTCTTCTCATTAATTTTGCGTCATCTGCAAACATTGACATGTATGATTCCACTCCTGTAAACATATCATTTACGTAAATTAGAAAGAGGATTGGTCCCAGCACCGATCCTTGAGGTACTCCACTTGTTACTGTTCGCCAGTCCGACTTTTCGCCCCTTACCATTACCCTCTGGCTCCTTCCTGTTAGGTAGTTCTTCACCCATACTAGGGCCTTTCCGCTTACTCCTGTGGGGGGGGGGGGTCCAGATAGAGGGGGCGTCAGTGCTGGAAGTGCAGGAATCTGAAGGTGAGGTGAGGTTGTCACACCTGGCGGGCGGCTGCGGCAGGTGGTGGTGTTGCTGGAGCTTAGTGGTGATTATAAGGCGACAGTGTCCAGGAGCTGAAGATTTTGTGTGTGTGTGTGTGTGTGTGTGTGTGTGTGTGTGTGTGTGTGTGTGTGTGTGTGTGTGTGTGTGTGTGTGTGTGTGTGTGTGTGAGAGAGAGAGAGTATTCACCTAGTTGTGCTTGCGGGGGCTGAGCTCTGTTCTTTCGGCCCGCCTCTCAACTGTCAATCAACTGTTTCTATTACTACTACTACTATTTTTTGTACACCAATTGATAGGGTAGATAAAGACGGGCTATTTAACACAAGGGGGCACACGCACTTGGGGACACAGGTGGAAATTGAGTGCCCAAATGAGCCATAGAGATATTAGAATTTTAGTGTCGGTAGTTGATAAAGGGAATGCATTAGGCAGTGATGTGGTGGAGGCTGACTCCATACACAGTTTCAAGTGTAGATATGATTGAGCCCATTAGGCTCAGGAGCCTGTACACCAGTTGAGTGACGGTTGAGAGGCGGGACCAAAGACAGAGCTTAACCCCCGCAAGCACAACTAGGTGAGAACACTCACTCTCTCTAGGCTGTTATTGAGGTCCTCACCCCCCCCCCCTCCCTCCAAGGTTTAAGTATTGAACGTCCCCAGGATGCAACACCCACAAATGTTGTTCAACTCCAGGGTACCTATTTACTGCTAAGTAAAGAGAGGCATAAGGTGAAAGAAAACGTGCCCATTTGTGTCTTGCCGGGAAAAAGAACCCGGGATCCCCGATTGTGAGACAATTAAATCTTCCTCGACGGAGTCACACAAGAGTGACAAAGGTGGCAAAAATTACACTGTACAATAGGTCTCCTTCCGTCGCCTGTGTGCCAATCACTAATCCTGGACGACTTCAACCGTGGCAAGATAGATTGGGAGAACATGGAGAGCTAAGTTATAAGCAAGTTATATCTTTTCCACTCCCAAGTTAATATGGCGGTGACTCCACCCAAACAGAGCACTGTTAACCATCAAAACAATCTGATGTTTACCCTGTACGAGTCGGACATTCAGGGAAATCCCATTTAAGACAACATAGAAATACGAGTTGGTCATTTGTGTATATGGAGGAGAGTAAGGTACTTTCTCAGCTCCGTAATATTAATTCTAAGAATACTATGAGGAAACATCTGAGGAGACTGTACAAGGCATGGTAACGTCTCCACAGGTGTCAGTAGAAAGTCTAATTTGTCCCTGTCCAAAAGAAGAAAAAAAAACTGAAGGTAGGAAGAAAAAAAATGAAAGAAAATTTAGTGTTTGCAGCAAGGATACAAGGACTATCAACAGCAGGCGACATGTCTGGCAGACTGCAGCACAGGAAAGGAAGCAAAACAAGTCCAAGGGCACAAAGGAACTACGGGAGTAACATACGGCCACCAATGATCAACTGAGAAGGAAATCTATAAAATAGTCTCAGAGAGAACGAGAGAGAGAGAACGAACGATAGATA